CTCTGAAATTATTTGCCCTACTTTGCTAAATGTCCTTTCCGACACACGAGATAAAGCAGGTACCGCCGGCTGTTACTCTTATATAGGCGGCATACACGGTGCGTCTGATCGCACGGCGCACGCCACAAATCGGAGGAGAAGCTCGGCCAAACACTAACATATGTTTAAGCGCCAATCTATTATTATTATTAGGTTTGTTCGTCGAAAATCCAGCAAGAATTATCCAACACTCAAAATATCAGAGAGTAAGAAAAAATTCTCTCAAATTCTCTCTCATGTTGGGAAACTTGCAAATTTCTGCACGAACGCAAATTTGCAGGAATTTGCAAGTTTCGCTGCCAGCTGGCGTCCACGGTTGCATTTTAAACATAAAAAATTTTTATAGAATTTTTAAAATTCTTTCGGATGGCCAAAAACAGGATATACATGTATATTTCTTGTTGTTCTGACTTTCTTTAACATACATTTCAATTTCTTCATCGTACTAGCTGTCGGGTTTCTTAAATCGACTCTGGTTGCAATTGCATTCCGATTGCGAATACCATTTTTTTCAGCCGAATTAAGTTCAAATCATTGGAATTAACTAAATTAATTATATCAACAGTTATTTACTTCCTTTTTTCATAAAAAAATCGCTCGTGTTTATAAATTTTTAAATTTAACGAACTAATTTATTCAAATTATTGTAGACAAAAATGCAACCATGCGCCACAACCACATTTTTTCGTGTTTGCAAATTCTTGCTGGCGAAATTTTTTCCAGCAAGAATTTGCAACTTCTCTCCAAGAGAACTGTCACTTTGCTCTCACAATTTTTGAGTGTTGGATAATTTTTTGGTCTGCACGAACGCGATTTGGGCAAAAATCGTGATAATTCGTACAAATTCGTACAAATTTTTTGCTCGACGAACAAACCTATTATTATAAGCTCATATCCACGGGTGTAGCATGCCTCGAGAGAAAACACTTCAGAATATTACAATACCCGAATTATCAAGGGTCACGGATATTTTAAAGCGCACCTTCATCGCTTTGGACATGAAGAGACTCCATATTGCGAACAGTGCAAACCAGCAGTCGCCGAAGAATGTGTTTCAACTCGCAAGCCAATTTAATGGCAAGAAATGCACGTAAACAGACGATGTCAGACTTAGAAAATAACTATTCTATGTTATGGACGGGGACGTGGCGGGTA